ATATAAGAATAAATGCAGATAAGAGATTAAAACCAAATAGACCAACAAAGTTAAGATTTTCAAAAGAGCTTATTTACAATAAGAAACAAAAACGCTACACGTTTTTATTAAAATGTACAATAACCGCTCTCTCGGTCAAAATGTACGAGTGGTTTATTTTTTAGCTAAATTTTATTCATAAATGTACAAATTTCATCTTCTTTAAAAATAAAAAAATCAGAGTAAAGTTCCTATTTGCTGCTATCTTGACTTTCCTTTAAATACTCATCCTGCTAAGGCACCAGAAACGTTCAAAGTACCGTGCAAAAGTCTTCAGCCACCCCAATATAATTCGAATATTTAGCTTCTAAAGACTTGAGCAATTGTTATTCAGAGTTTCAGAAGTTCTCTAGAAGGTTTTGTTTTCAAGGGCAGACCTTGTACCTGATGATTGTCAGAGGAATGTTTCATTTTTTTTATATTTGAACCAATTATTGTTGAAACAGTCAGGCATGAAAAAGGCCCCTGAACATTCCCGCGTTGACAAAATGACATCATTATAAAGAACTGATTATAATTTAAAATATTTTGTCTTTTTGTTGAAGCAGTTTGCTACTAACACTCAGAAAGTTTTTTTTTTTTTTTAACTGATTCTCTGAAAATATTAAATATCAACAAAGTGGTTAAATTGAAAACTGACCACACAGAAGATGAACAAAGGCAGGATGATCTCTCAGGTCCTGTTCACCCCATTTCTTCAAGACTTCATTAAATAATAAACTGTTCGTCTTCTACTGTGACTAGTTTTAGACCTTTTTAAAAATTATTTTTCCCCTCACATTTTTAAAGAAAAAAAACTGATGTCAGAAACTGAAAATTAGAGAAAAAGAAACAAAAGTGCAAACATTAAAAATCAAAAAATAAAATAAAAACAGCCCCAGAAACCCAGAGGAACTGCTGCTGCACGTTACGTTAAAATATTAAAATAAACTTCAGGCAGCTCGGTTGAAAAATGGTGAGAGCTGCGGCCGCACAGCAAAAAGGTTGCAAGTTCAAAACCCAGCTGTGGCCTTTCTGGGTGAAGTCTCCTCGTGCATCTTTCTCCAGGTACTCCAGTTTCCTCCCACACACCAAAACCATGCAAGTAAAGTTAACTGCTAACTCTAAAATGCCTTTGTCTCGGTTGTCTACATGTGTCCCAGTGCTGGACTGGTGACCTGTCCAGCGTGTCCCCGCCTCTCACCCAATGACTGCTGGAGACTAGCACCAGCTCCAGACCCTGTAGCAGGTAAAAAAAATGGACAGGCGACGGAAACTTTACATCCTTGAAATTATTATCACGAGACTTTTGCACAGTCCTGCATTTGAGGTAAATCAGTGCTCTGGACAATTTGATCAAATAATATGAATCCAGTTGAGTTTGTAAAGTTTATATAGTCTTCAGAACAAGTAGAAATTTACAAATGTCACATTCTGAAGCTAAGCTAGCAATAAAAAGATTACCTGTACACTGGTTTATATGTATGGGTCATATTCAGAGGATATTGACTTATTTAGAATAAAACCAATAGAAACATACTGCAGTACATTCATTGTTTATATGAGCTGCTTATCACACTATTTAATTTATTTCCCACCTTATTTTATAACAAAACTTAATCTGATGATCAGTGACATTTATCGCCTGCTAAATAATCAAATCTGTTCTAAAGATGGAGTCATTTTATTTTGTAACGTCTGAGCTGCTGCATCAGGAGCTGGAGTTTCCTTTACTGAATGTAACCATATTTATATCAGGATAATCAGAATATTTTCTGTACATGAGAGTTATTTATTTGAAATTGACAGTGTGAAATGGTGAACAGAGGAAGGAATGTAAAAAAGTTGACTATCTAAATCAATGGTTCCCAACACTGGTCCCTGAGGAACACCGTCCTGCATGTTTTAGCTGTTTCCCTGCTTTGACACACCCGATTTGAATGATTTGGTGATAAACAGGCTTTGGCTGAACTTGAGGAAGAAATTAAATCACTGAATTAGATGTGTTGAAGCAGCTAAAACATGCAGGGTGGTGTTCCTCAGGGACCAGGGTTGGGAACCACTGGTCTAAATTGAACCTAATTAGACTTTTAGAACTGAAAAAGTAAATGGTTTAAGGCTTTAAACAAATAGTTTAACTGTTGAACGAATAAAAATATTCAAGTCTTTGAGGTTTTTGACTGTTTGCTTTATTTATTTATTGTTATTTTTTGAGTTATGGACATTTTGATGGTAAATGTTCGTATTTTCTAAAATGAACAACTAAAGGTAAAAAAAAGCAACATACACCAACTCTTAAATTATGTTTGACAAAAGAGAAAATAGAACTATTTTATGGTTATAATAAAGTATTTAACTTTCAAGTTAGTTTGTTGGGATGTTCACATTTTTTCTGACATTCTGACAAAAAATAACAATAATTAAACAAAAGAATTAGGAGGGTTATTCTCGTTTTAATTAAAAAAAAACGGGAACTATAGCTTGTCGTTCTGTAAATAAAATAGTTTCTTGAAAAGTGTTTGTTATTTTGTTTTATTTGTAGTGCCAACGTAAATGTCATAACTTATTTGAAATGTTTAAATTAAACCCTTTTTTGATTTTTTAGAGAGAATAATTGGAGTTCCAACACAGAACGTGTTTTATTTGTTAAAATACATTTATTTGATTTCAGTGTTTGTCCTTTATAAACGATTCAGTAAAAATAAAATCTGACTGGGACCAATAAATATTTCTTATTTGATAATCATGATGCATTCAATAACATATTTTAAATACTGTATTTTTTATTTATTTTTACACATTTTCTCAGGTGCACAGTATTTATTTATTTACTTTTATTTGCATTGTTTGTGTATAAATTGAATTATTGATCAGTTTGAGGTTGTTTTTTTTAACATCTTGAGGCAACATGCAGGTGTCGCTTTACCGAAAAGAGTTTTTCATATCACAACTAAACTTTTTTTTCTTAAAATACAACAACCAGTAAAAAAAAAAAAAAAAGTTAGTTTTAAAGAACAAAAAGAACAGTTAATTGCATCTCTTGAGTTTTACGGCTCTTCCTCCGTCAGTAACTCTGCTGCTCATTGTTCGCCGTCAAACACCATGACCTCTGACCTCTACATAATCCCTCCTGATCCACCCAGCTGTTGCTCAGCAGCATCCTGCGTCTTCTTGTGCGTCATCAGAGCAGCTCGCGTCGACTGTGGCTCCACCTCCAGCCGAGGCGTCCGTTTTCAATCACGGCCCTCCCTCCGCTCAGACGTCAGGGTTGCCCTCCAGCTTGGTCAGGTCGGACGTCGTGACCATGAACATGCTGCGCCCCCGCTCCAGGCGGCTCTTCTTGTCCGTCAGCCGGAAGGCCTCCATGAACTCGTCAATGTCGATGCTGCCGTCATGGTTGCTGTCGATGGTGACGGCCAGGCTGGAGATGTCCTCGTCTGTGATTTCCATTTTCAGGTAGACGCTCAGGAGCTTCCACGTCTTCCGGAAGTCCTCCACCGTGATGAAGCCTGAAGAAGAGGAGAGGGTTAAAGGTTAAAGAAGGGATTGATAATAAAAAAAAACAGAAACGCTGCTGAAGTTTGAAGTGGGTTTGTGCGTTGCAGATCAGTCTGGGGAGGGAGGAGTAGATCAGTGGGTTAATCCTCCTCAGGCCCGAGGAGGCCGTGACCTCTTTCACGTGCTGCAGGAGGATTAACGAAAGCCAGAGAGACGTCATTTAAACTCAACAGGTTCCTGCCAAACCTCCACCGAGCTAAAATAAGCTTCCAGATTTAAAGCTACAACCCAAACCACTGAGAAACGTGCACAACACATCAGGCTTCATTATAAATTAAAGCGAAGGACGTGCGCACATTGGTTCAACATACTAAACCAAGGGTCCTCAAACTTTTTGGGTTCAGGGACCCCCTCATAACCCTCGTGTTTATTAAATCATTCTTTCAATTTGTTTCTATAATGCAATGGAAATATTTGTGTAACATAAATACTCAAGACCTGCTCTTTAATAATGGTAATACAATTTTTATACTTATAGACATGGGGTATTTTTCATTCATGACACACTTAATAATAATTTAAAAAAAAAAGATTTCAACTTCCAAAAATGACAGTTTTGAGAAAATGAACAGCATCAAACACAACTTTCAAACTTTACCTATAATGAACATAAATGTATCGCCACTTCTTCAAATTATTACAGAAAACTCTTTACATAAAACTGAACAGAATCATAACAGCAGTAGTCATAGCAACTAACAGGGCTTAGTTTGTAAACCGACAGACACCGGAACGCAAATAGAAGATGGGTCGTGGGGGTCTGGGGGGGGAGGGGGGGTCCTCCCCCAGTAAATTTTGAATAAAATAGATGTGATTTTCTGCATTTTGGTGAATTTTAATGGTTTGTTAAACATCTACATGTTTGTATAACAAAATTTAATAAATTTCGGACCCCCAAGCACCAGCTCGTGGACCCCCAGGGGTCCGGGGGCCCCAGTTTGAGAACCACTGCTTTAACTTTACCTGAGTTGTCGGCGTCTATGATCCTGAAGATGGTCTCCACAGTGGAGCGGTGGCGGTACAAAGTTTCCAGCAGACTCTGCTCAATGTGCTGCAAGATGACAAACAAGTCCCGGTCTGCGTTTTGTTTACTTGTTTTTGACAGTTGTTTATTGTTGAATCAACATTCATTTATTTATAACAAAGTCCATGCTCAATAATCCAGGTATGCAATCCAACATTTTTCAGTCAGGTCATCTGGACAGTTTTTTTTTTTTTTTTTTGTGCTGAAATGTTTCGCCTTCGATCCAGAAGGCTTCATCAGTCAAGGAAACGCACAACAAAACTGATTCTTCCCGCAACAGCTTAATCCAAAGTGGAACAAACCAGTTTTGCTTGTGATAAGATGGTCCATCTTATCATTTACATTAAACTATTGAAGATAAACAGTTTGAAAGACATTAAATAGCATTGTCACACCAGTCAGGTCATTCTCAAAAATATATTTTTAGAATTTGACTAATTTCAGTGCAATATCCATCATGGTTTTTTTTTTTTTAAGAAAAATGGATGACAAAACAAAAATAACAGATCAGGAAAAAATATCCAGCAGAGGAAAGCGTATTAAAAATAAAAATGAGATCAACTCAAGCAGCGATCCGGCAGAGATTATAAAACGTTTGCACGTTGCTGTTTTGTTTTCAGGATTGTGGGTTTTCATCTTTTTGTCTTAGTGAGCTTTACTTCCTGTTTACTTCCTTTGTGCACCTCAATTTGTTCCTGCTGTTTCCTGTTGGCACTACTGCTTGGATTTTGTTTTTGTTGTTGTTTTTAGTAAAACGATAGAAAAAGGCAAAGAAACTTTTGAGTTTAGGTTTACTCATTTTACATTTTTGGTAAAAAATACAACATACTGCTGTAGGACAATGGTTCTAACTGTATAACTCGTTTCAGCACCACTAAGGTGTCCGTTTTTTGTTTACTTTTTTACACACTGCTAATATATAAACCTATAAACTATGCAAATGTACTTTTGTGGATATTTAAAATATCACCTATCATTTCTCTAGACAAAGTTGATGCTTTCTTACGTCGGCGTTGAGCCCCTTGATGGAGAGCTCGTTGAACCAGTCGTGGTAGTCGATCATGCTGGACTTGGAGGAGACCAGCTGACAGAAAAGAGTCCTCCAGGGCAGATTCAGGTGCATGACGCTTTCCACCGCAGAGACCCAGTCGTTCAGAGACACCAAACCTGACAAAGATCAAAGGTCACGTCGGAGGAAAACCTTTGATAGTTTTTATTTTGAATATTTAGCTTTCAATCTTCATGTTGTGATTGCAACGTGAGTGACCTCCACTTTTAATAAAATAATACTATATTTGAGAGATTATGAACTATAAACTCCAACATGGCTGTTTAAATCACTGAACTTGTTCCAGCTGAGGTTCCTGTGAAACGTTGGTCCTGAATGGGCATTATAAAGCTGAACAATTGACACAAAGGATCTGAGTTAGGTTTCTCTGTATTGGACACTGTACTCTGAGATCTGCCAACAAATCAGCCCCTGATCTGCTGAGGACTGAATGGTTTTAGGAAACGCCAGTCTGCGCTCACCTGTGTTCTTTGGGTCGAGCTTTTTAAAGGCACAGATGAGGTCAGACTTGTGCGCAAACAGCTGCTCCCGCAGGACTTTCAGGGCTGAGCGCTCAGTTCGCCCAATACTGCAAATGACAGCAAACACAACAGACGTGCAGCGTAAGTGCAGCGTGAATGCTTTTTGCTGAAGAACAGCTGAAATTAGTTAAAAACATGCTGAAATGTAGCTGAAATGGGAGAGCAAGCCTGACTTAGCAGGAGAAAGCAGAAAGAACACATATTTGCTGAATTAGGTTTAAATAAGCAGAAATGACCACGAAAATTAGGAAATCAGCTAAAAAATAAACTGAAAACTGCAAAAAATAGCTGAAAATTTGCTGAAAATGCAGAAACTACCAGAAGGAAGTGGAAGGAGCTGAAATTAGCTAAAAAAAAAAGTGAATTTAGCTGAAAAAGCTAAATTTAGCACAAAACCGCTAAAAAGTAGCTGAAATAGCAGAAAAAGCTGAAACTTGCAGAAAAAACTGGAAAGGAGCATAACAAGGTGAAATGAGAAGAAATAAGTTAATTAGGCTGAAAGTAGCAGAAATTACCAAGTAAAACTAGAACGTATCTGAAAACAGCTAAAGTGTTAAAAGGTAGCTGAAAATGTAGAACAAGCTTCAATTAGCATAAGAAAGTAGAAATAACACATTTGCCCGATTAGGCTGAAAGAAGCAAAAATTAGCACAAAAAAGTGGAAATTATCTGGAAAAAGCTGAAATTATCAACAACAAACAAAATAAACAAACAAAAAATACATCAGAAAAGTAGTTAAAAAGCAGAAAAAAGCTTAAATTACCAGAAGGAAGTGGAGAGTCAATGGACAACTCCACGGAAAACTTACTGTGGACAATCTGGTGGACAAAACGTTTGACGTTTCTGTTACTCAGATGTGACGCTGGAGCAGAGACAAGGTTTTAACATAGGTCACCTGTGACCTTGACCTTTGACCCCATGACCTTGAAATCAATAGGGATCACCCTTGACCCATGAGGTGTCTTTATTAAATGTGAGTAAATAATTTATTTCCTCATATATATAATAACTTTTTTGATGCTTTGGGTTTTTTTTTACATTTTCTGTACATTTTTGTTTTTAACGAGAAGAAAGAGTTTGATGGGATTATTTTTGCCTCCACTTCCTACATGTGTCCAGTTTCACTACTTTTTTTTGTCTGTCCAAACAGGTGTCACTTGTAAATGAGTCTTCGAGGCTCAATGTGATTTATCTGTCTAAATAAAGGTTGAATTGAATAAAATGAAAAACTGTAAAACAATAAAAATCCAGATGTTGCAGCTGAGTCCTTCCTGACAGCATCTGTACCTCTGTCTGGCGGTGAGCTCTCTGGTCAAGCTGGTGGCCTGGTACTGGATCACATAAGGCACGAGGTCCGGGCCCACCTTCACGTAGGCCCCCCGGTTGCTTCCAACATCGTAATAATTGGAGGCCGAGAACAGAGTGAGAACCTGCAGAACGTGGAGGAAACGTTCAGCAGAACTGATCAGAGCAGATGTTTTGGAACAAGCTGAGGTCCGAGCTCACCTTCCGGTTGTGGCAGAACTCGTAACCCTCCTGTTTGCACTCGTGGGAGCGGATGATGAGCTGCATGTTGTGTCGGTTCAGGAACTCCTCGGTGACGTCGGGCCCCCAGTAACAACCACCACCCCTCACCTCGTTGGGCACGCAGCCGTCCTGGTTCATCGGGTCGCTCCACAGCAGGTCCAGAATCTGGAGCCACAAAAAGAATCCCTGGAGTCGTTCTATATGCAGATGATCATTAAATATACCATCAAAAACTTGTGTTCCATTTTTTCTCTCACTACTATTGATCAGCTGACTGATCTGACACCACAAACATGGAGGTGAAGGCAACATAATAAAGAGGTAACAGAGTTTGACAGGCGTCTAAAATTAAAACTGCAGGAACCTTGATTAAAAAAGTGGCACTTTTAGCTTTAAATCATCTTTATTGTGACACTTAGCCTCTAGGGTTTGATTACTTTTAGCTAGCCTTTTGTTAATTTTAGCTTTTAGCTTACCGTTGCTACTTTTAGCTTCTAGTGTTTTACTACTTTTAAGTTTTAGCTAGCCTTTTGTTACCTTTAGCTTTTAACCAGCTTTTTACAATGTTTAGCTTCTAGCTAGTGTTTAACTACTTTTAGCTTGCCCTTTGCTACTTTTAGCTTCTAGCCTATAGCATTTTACTACTTTTAGCCACTGTTTTATTTGTTTTATATAGCATTTTGATATTTTTTGGCTTTTAAATCCTTTTCAAACCTTTTGCAACTTTTTGTTTTTAAACAGCTTTTTGCACTGTTGCTAATTTTAGCTTACCGTTTGCTCCTTTCAGCTTTTAGCTAGTGCTCTGGTGCATTCAGCTTTAAAAAGACAGTTTTGGCTGCTTGTTACTAAACGACAAAGTTGTTCAACTCTCAGTATTTTGACAGAAAACACAGTTTCACTCATCTGTTTTGACGTTTTACTCTTTTTTCCCCCTGTCCATTCTGTTTTTTGGCCCTTTGGTTGTTTTTATTTAAAAAAACAAAACAACTTTTGTCACATTTATTCTGCCAGGTGAAGATGCACATCTTGAAGTGATGTGACTTTTGAAGTCGTCGTTAAACAATGAGCAGTCAGGAGCTTTTGTTTCCTTCAACATGAATGAAAACTGTCTTGGTTACCAGTCTCCACTCCTCCTTGGCGTTGTCGCTGCTGATGGAGTCCGTGGACGTGGACGAGTCTTTTTCGGTCCTGTTGACTGCAGTTTGGAGCAGGGAGTCTCTCCTCTTGTTGCTGTCCAGCTTGTCCTCCATCTTCACTTTGATGCGTCCAGAGAAGTCCTGCAGCGAGCGGTTCTGGAAGCAATCCCGCGCTCCCAGGGGTTTGGGATACGAGAGGGAGGCTCGACGCTGGTAGACCCTACTGGTGCTCCAAACATCGTCCTCCAAATCGCCGTCAATAGACATCCCCGTCGAGCTGCTGTTCTTCTTCTTTGGAGGCCTCAACGCTGAGATGTACTGGAGGAGAAGCACGAGGAAAGTTTAAAAGTCTGTCAGCAATTTCAGTTTAAAGAGTTTGCCTCGTGGTGGTGGTCCTCACGCTGTGTCTGTCCACTCTGGCCAGGACACTAAGGTCCGTGGTGTCGGAGATGCCTCCATGGAGGACCAACACCTTCTGATCGATCACGGTCGCCAACGGCAACCAGCTGAAAATCTTCTGCAGCAGCTTCAAGATCCGCTTGCCATGAATCTGAGAAACGAAATCGAACAAACAAACAAAAAAAAAGGGAGGTAATTTATCTCAGATTGTGTTATTTATCCCTTTGAGACAAACATATGTTCTTGTATGTTGAACAACTGGCAGATTTGTGTGCATGAGCACAAATTCCCCCACTTTTTAATGAAACTTTCAAGAAATAATCAATGTATTTACCTCTATACCTGAGTCAACCCAATTCAAGATGGCTGCCATGGCTAATCAACCTTAGCCAAACAATTTATCTTAAACTCTGGAGTGACAGAGCTTTAATTTGATTCATATTTAACTTATCCCTGCCACCTGTAACTTCAGTTTGATAGAGGATTTTGTCAGTAAGGTAAAACTGCCAGGAATTTGATCAAACTCTGGATATGTAAAGTTTTAAGAAGCACTTGTTTTTTGTTTTGGACCTTTTGACCTCCCTGACTCGTCAGGAGGCAGATGTCCTGCAGTGATTCGCTTTAATGACCTTAAATCCTCTTAGCCGACAGAAGGAGTGACCGTCGTTCTGTGCTGTGGATGAGGATGGAGCGTTTCATCAGGCAGGCGACAGAATCACAGCTTAGCTTCTTCCTTTTTTTTTTTTTTTTTTTTTGATAAACCAAGCTGTCAACAAACTCACCTTGTATTTAGTCAGCACCTCCTTCGTGAAGCCGTACCTTCAGACACAAGCGAGGAAGCATGCGTTGGTGTTATTTAAAAACGGCTCCATGTTTACATGTATACGTTTTACCTCAGGTTGATTAAATGGTCCTCGTGGTTGCCTCTGTTCAGGTAGACGTCACACGGGTAGACGAGCAGGAACGAGAACAGGATGAGGAGGATCTCAATGGAGTCTTTGCCTCGGTCCACAAAATCTCCATTGAACACGTAAGGCCTCTCCAGAGATGGCACGCCATTCTGAGCGAGGAACCGGGTCAAATAAAGCAACATGAAAACGAACAATCAGGACCTCAGAGAAAGATAAAAGTGGGTTAAAAACACTGACTTTAAAAAAAATAAAGGAATCAAAAAGAAACATTCAAGTTCATTTAGGTAATTATGTAAAAACAACTCCTTCTTGAGTGCAATGTGTTTTAGAATAAGCCCTCTGTTTCTTATTTTTATTTAATCTTTATTTATACAGATTTAACCAATCATAAGTGCTGAGATGACTAGGGAAAGTTTTAAAACCAGAAAACTCAGAGTACGTGTTGAGGATGACTCTCACCCCAAATCATGGCTCAATACCTGTAAAACTGTCTGAGATGGAGCTCTTTTTGCATTTGCAAAGTTTTCATCAACACGTTTTCTAACGCGACAGACACAATCACACAGAGATATATCAAATGGAACAGTGTGGCCTTTAAACATGTAGTTTTTAGAAGAGCTAACCTTGTAGAAGATCAGCAGCAGGTCCTCCAGCTGTCCGTGCAAATCACCTGAACAGAAGGCAAGAAAAATGAACGTTTAGGAGCGTTCCTTGGTTCAGAAAACAACAATAAAAGCTTTTTGTGTGATATACTTGTGTTTTAAAGGCCATTAACTATATTCTTATTTAGCTTTTACAGAATCCAATAAAGTTAAAGCTTTGTCATACAAAAAAATCAGAGACAATTTTAAATAAAACGATTTTTAAAAAAAAAAAAGCTTCCATTAATTAAGAACAGTAACAGAAAACTAAAATGTAATCTACAAAGGACTTTCTTCTTATGTTTCTAACATTTTTTTAAATTTATTTCCCTTGTTTCCACAATCTGTCAGAGATCAGCTGATCTGATCTTACCGCAGACTGTGATTTCTTTGCTTTGGCAGGTGGAGATGCGGTTGATGTTGGGAAACATCCGGAGCAGCTTCCACGCCTCCAGGAGCAGCTGGAGGACGTAGCGCGAGTGCAGCTGCTACTGAGAGAGAGACGAGTCAGAGGGAAGGCCTCAGACACACAAACATGGAACAAAATGTTTGACGAGGTCATTTTTAGTTGTTTTTCACAGCTTTGTTTGCTTGTTTTTGGAGAAGACAGCTTCTAAATGTTAAAAACTGGTCAGAAAACGTAGAAACGAGCCGCTTCTGATGATTCCTGTGAACGTGAGTTTTTCTGGGATTTGACTAATTTCTTCCTGTTTCTTTTTTGAATGATTTAAATAAATGTAACTACACTTAAAGAGTCTCAAAACCATAAAAAATGTTGGACAACAAAGAAACTCCTGGGTCCGGGTACGTAAAGTGAGCCCCGCTAGATGTTCGGAGGAGATGCAGAACCACACCAAGAAACACAAAACAGACACAAACTACACCAATACAGTTTGTGGCTCTTGTTTTGCATCAGTTTGTGTTAATTTATAATCGTACGTATTTTTTAGTGTTTCATAAATACTTTTTTCCTCATTAAAGTAATTTTGTATTTACTTGTAGCCATTTTAATCCTCTTTTTTGACATTTTGCATTTCTTAAAAGCTACGTCGAACCATATTTTGATCACTTTGCATTTGTTCCGTCATCTTTTAACTGATTTTCATTCTGCGTACTCTGTGTGCTTTAGCCTTAGCTCTCTCTCTTTAGTCTTGGATGCTGACTTTATTCCTCGCTGCACCTCCAAATGCCCCCGTACCTCTTTAACGCTCTACACCTGCACCTCAGGAGCCCATTCAGACTTATCTCCACACACAAAGATGCTGTTTGAGTCACGCCTCTCTTCTTTGCCCCTACTTTCTTGCTCCTGAAGGCCTCCAACAGTCCGACTGCCTGCTCCACCGTCAGAGGAAAGGTGAGATGAGGCCCTGAGTACACCTCCGGCACCTCGATGTTCTTGTAGCAGAAGTACCTCTCCCATTCTGCATCCAAACAGACTTCATGCTCTCGGAATATGTGCGAGATCAGATTTCCTGGAAGATGTCAGAGTCAAAGGTCAAGGATTCAGTTTGTAAAAAGGAATAAGAGATCTGAATCGTTGTGGAGAACCTTACGTTCACTGTTGGATGGAGTGAAGTTGTCCATGAGGTAGCCGAGGAAATTATAAAGCTGCACAGGACAGAAGGAGGAAGTTAAACTAGAACATGTAAGAAGCAGACTGGACGTTGGGCTGAGGGGTCTCACCTTGATCTGGGCCTGTTCTCCGGAGTATTCGATGGACTGGAAGATGTGCCAGGTATATCTCCGTCTCATCTCTGTGCGGGCGACGTACTGACGGTACCATCGTTGAATCAGGATAGCAGCTCTGATGGCTGCAACACACAGCGCAGATTTCAAACTGGAGTTTGTAAAAGGTTTAAAATGTTGGAACCACCTCAGCCAGTTGAGGTGGTTTGGGAATCTGGTAAGGATGCCCCCTGGGCGCCTCACTATAGGGAGGTGCTTCGGGCATGTTTGACTGGGAGGAGACCCAGGACACGCTGGAGAGAATATGTCTCTCAGTTGGCCTGGGAACGCCTCAGGGTCCTCCCAGAAGAGCTGGAAGAGGTGGCTGTGGAAAGAGATGTCTGGTCCTCCCTGCTCAAGCTGCTGCCCCGAGACCCAACTTCAGAACAAATGGAAGAGGATGGATGGATGGATGGATGGATGGATGGATGGATGGATGGATGGA